ACAGTGTCCTAAAATTTTAAGTCAGGATTTGGCACTATATAATTAAATGACTGAGAGCTCTGAGGAAACTTGAGGCCCCACAGAAGGGCCAGCTCTCTAAGCGTAGCCATTTTCCTGTAGTGAATGGTTGTCCTGTCCCATCAGAAATATTTAAATCCCATCAAAATATTTAGGACTAGCCTCCACTCTACATCCGTGTTACTCATTCTTCATTTGTATCTCTTTCAGATTTAGAAACCAGATAAATTAAGATGCTGATTTAAGTTCTTCAGCTTGTGAGTCATGTGATGCAGTGATGCTATGAATCCCAGAATGTGCTAGGGGAACTAGAACCAAGAGCTATTCAGTGATTTCGCAATAGGTCTATTGGTTGATGGCTGAATGTTTACTGATTGGCATAATTTCTCATCTTACCCTTTTCTTTCCTCTCATTTCCTTGGGCTACAACAACCCAACCCCTGGGTTTCTCAGCTCTTAAACATAGCATAAACTATAGAGACCATCAAACCCAACTCCCTGTTTTAGAAATGCCTAAACTGCCTAAGAGACCTAAAATGATTTGCCAAAAATAACAGAACTCCTAAGTAGCAGTACTGGAATTCTAATCAAGGTCTTTTGACCTAAATTCAAGAATACTGTCAATTATTCCATGTTTTCTTTTAATTTTTATACCAAGTGAACAAATCCCAACTTTCAGGAAATGTAATGATTAAAGAACAGGAGTTTTAACCTTTTGTGAGTTGGGTAGCCACCGTTAAACATTTTGGCAGACTTGTGATGCAAATACATATCCTAAAAGTTGGTATTGCATGTGGTATCTGTTGCTAGTCAGATTTCTGTCATTTAAACATAAGTGTGTGCTTATATTCTTTTAAAACTCATAATTATTGACTTTAATGTCTTTTACATTTAATATTCCTAAGTTGTGCTACAGTCCCTATGGGAACTAGAGGAAGTTATTAGAGCCTCACAAATGTGTTTGGCTGCTGCATTCTGTTATTTTTCTCCTCCGTGGACAGCCCACAGCTTCAGCTGCTGAGCAGTGGAGAAGTTTAAACCTCCAGGGCCCATTAGATTTAACTTGTTTACTGCATTGATAGCTATATGTTAAATGACAAGAGAGTTCAGGTTATTGAATAATTTAAAATTCGGCTCTAATTGGTGTCATGTGACCTAGAAAAGGCCATGGTTGACGCCAGGAGCATGCTGTGAATTTCTTATAAATAATTCATAAATTACATGATTCATTTGCCTGGATATCTTGGTAAAGGCAAAAGTTTGTAAGTTATAACTGATGATATAACACCTGTAAGTATTTAGTTCATAACACTGGAAGGTAATCTACCTTGATGATCTTCTAGCAAAACCTGCCAGTATAGGAGAGTTAATTGAACTGGGGAGAATGAACATTTATTTGGGATGAGGCTTTGGCAAAACATGCAGTGCAGCTGTTGCATTACGTAGCTTCTGTCAGCTTAACAACTGGTTCATGTAAGCCTGACTTTAAAAATGCAGCATGCCGTTCTGAGCCTTATTTCACATTAACTCCAAATGTTCTGGGTAATGCGCTGACCTGCCCCACACACAGTAATTTAGGTTTAGAAATATTTATCTAGGTCTTGAATTTCTGACTTCTCAATAAAATGAAGAGCACAGGGGACAATTTGGAAATTGCAAAATTGCTATTTTCATTCTTATAAGGCTATCACTGGGACTATGAGGATTGTTAATAGAGTGCTTGCCAGGATAGTAAGTTATTATTTGCCATCAGAGAAATGAATACCAGTAAGACCTATTGGTACTATTGACTAATCCTGTGCTTAACAACTCATAAGTGCATTGTGAGTAATCACTTCCTCATCACGCAAAGGAAATAACAACCTGTTGCAAGAAATAATAACTGCAGTTTAGTTCACATCTCTCCTTATGGCTCTAAAGCAAAATGGCCTATAAAAATGATTTTCAGAAACTTATAAAACATCACTGCTTGTATGTTCTTGCTATTTCACAAAGCAGTACTGCAGTTGTTATTTATATAACATGTGAGAACATGGGAAAACCCTGGACTACCATGTGATTTTATGTGTACGTGTATAATGGCTTACACCCCTGTTGTACATTCAGATGTGTATTCAAGATCAGATCATACATGTTTATCGACATCTCTATTGTCTATGAAGTCTTTCATAAATATGCCATATTTTAAAAAGTAATCTTAAGCCCTGGCTGGCGTAGCTCAGTGGATTGAGCACGGGCTGCGAACCAAAGTGTCGCAGGTTCGATTCCCAGTCAGGGCACATGCCTGGGTTGCAGGCCACGGCCCCCAGCAACCGCACATTGATGTCCCTCTCTCTCTCTCTTTCTCCCTCCCTTCCCTCTCTAAAAAATAAATAAATAAATAAATAAATAAATAAATAAATAAATAAATAAATAAAATCTTTTTTAAAAAGTAATCTTAAAAATTCATAAGATCTTATTCCAACTCAGAAATTTACTTTCACTGTCAGAAGATTTTTCATTGTGTCTAAACTAAGTCTCACACTTTTTAAAAAAACTTATACTTACCTCATTGGTGTCTTTTTTCTACTCAGTCTCTATCTCTCCAAGTCAAGAGACATGCTCCAACTGTCACAAGCCAAAAATGCCTCCGTTTTCTGATCTTCCTTTTGTGCTGTGAATCCCATAACGTCCCTGTCAAAGACTGCACTGGCTTCATTCCTGCCACTGCTAGAGTTTCAGGATGTAGTCCAGGGTTGTGGGACCTTCTATACGCATGAGACAAATCCTGACATTGTGATCATTTTGAACTCAACTTTTGTGCTTGTTGTGATCCACAGGTCATTTTCCTGTGTGAAAAGGAAAATGAGTGTGAAGCACCTGGGACTCTTTACTTTGCTGATGGGGATGTAAAATAGAATGACCACTTTGGAAAACTGATGGACGCTTTCTAATAAAGTCAAACATATGCCTACCTTCTGCCCAAGAGGAATAAGTGCATATGTCTAAAAGAGACTTGTATAAGAATATACATAGCAGCTTTATTCATAAAAGCTCTAAGCTGGAAACAACCTAGTCCACTGAGAGAATGGATAAACAAATTTTACTATATTCATGTAATGAAATACTGTGCAGCAATAAAAAAGAGTGAGCTATTGATACACAACATAGAAACTCAAAAATTATGTTGAGCCTAAGAAGCCAGGCACAGAAGAGTGTCATACTTTATGATTCCATATGGAGTTCAACACAGAGAAAACAAAAGGCTGTCGAAGTCAGGTCACTCCCACTAACTCTAACCACAAGTGTGAGGAGGTGCTGTGGGTTAGAAAGGTACAGGGGGACGTTCTGGGGTCATGGGGCTGTTCTATAATTACATGGGACGTGCGAATGTGAGATTTCATTAAGACCGGTGCACTTAAGACCGGCACATACACTTAAGACCGGTGCATTTTATTATGTATAAATTATGCTTCCAGTTTTTAAAAAAAAACATTGGTTTCTCAATCGGTGTTTTTGAAAAATCTACATCAAAACCATATGCCAGAAATAGCAGTTTGGGATTTGTTGTTACTTCTTTTAAGCCTTACTTAAAAGCAGTTACCCTTGTAAATATCACATAGAAAGCATGGAGCAGCTCAAGAAAGAATAACGCATCTGTTTTTAAGACAAAGCAAAATTTGTCTTAACCCTACTAATAAAATAATTTCATATTTTATATTTAGATTCTAACAGGCAGTTTTCTCTTTCTCCTCTCTTCTTCCTTACACCCTAATCATGGATTCTAATTTTCTTTTCTTTGTTACTACAACCCATAACACAACTTGAATTTTCTGCAATGCTGGTAGTCAGCCCGTGGTTATTGGGAATGCGCTATGTGCCTGCCCAGGGCTGTATATACAGAGGGCTAACATAGCCCCTTCCTTCAGATTTGTTGAGGCAGAGAAGTCCGTGACATTAATGGTTGTAGTAATGATAGGAAACATTTTTAAATGGTAAATTTACATTATACACTATCCAAAGTGCTTTGTATGAATTATCTAATCTCTGTGAGAGGCAGTGCAAGATGTTAGAGTGAGACTGACATCATTCATACAAAGAACCTTTCTGTCATCCAAGCAAGTCAACTCTGGCCCAACTTGCAAACCTCCTGGTAGCAAAGAGAAGGTGGATTACTGAACTCATTGTTTTCAGAAGGCAGTTTAGAGGTAATCTGCCGTAACTGAATGTGCCCCTTGAGCATTTCACCTCCACCCTCACGCACCCCACACACATGCCCTATAGTGTTTTCCTTGAGTGAGAATTGGGTAAGCATAGGCCTTTTTCCCCTTTGGTAAATTAGTACCCTTATAAATTAGTGCCCGTGATAACTGCCCATCTGCCACATTCAGTTTTGAGGTAGATGCTGTTTATAATCCCTGTTTTACTGATTTGTATTTAAATAACCACTTTTGATTAGAATCATTTTGTCAAAAGTGTTGGTTTTATCTGTGTGCTGTAAAAATATTTATAAAAACTCATCAAATTTCTAGTAGTAACGTCCTATGCAGTGTTAGGTGAAAGGTTTTATATCAAATCTCATGCTGTGTAATGGCCAATCACAGGGTATTTCAAATAGTATTTAAGGTGGCTAAATGAATTTTTTGGCTTAGTATTCAAAATTAAACATTTAAAAATACTAACATTTAATGCTTTTGCCTCTTCTCAAAGTTGATTTTAGGTGAACTTCATTATTTGCAACTCCTGAAATCTTGCTTAAGTGGCAAGTAGCAACATTTCCTTCTTCCTCATCCTTAAGGATTTACTTGAATCTCAATTGTTTGAAAATGGGTTTAGCTTTGTGGCACATGTCACTTTGGGTATGTGAATACTAGCATTTCTTATTTAAGAAGACAAAACAGCTTTGTTTTGGTGAAAATATATCATTGATTTCTGAAAAGCCAAAACAAAGGACTGATTTCACTGGGCTCCTGTTTGACAAGTGATCTTGTGGTTCCTTTCAGGTGTTCAATAGGAAAAGCACTCTGCCGTCTTCATCTGTGGAACTGGATGGCTCCTACTTGAGTGTAGCCAAACCACAGACCTACTTTCAAACCAAGCAAAGGCCTAAGCCTGCAAATCAGGAGTCAGCTCTAGAATCCCTTGTGGAGTTCAGGAATAATTCTCTGAAACCAGCAGCCCTTCATTGTCCCAAAGAGGATCTAGACAGGGGGCCATCGGAGACCAGAACATGTGAATACGGATCCCCAAGGAAAAAACTAGCAGGTACAGTCCCTACAGAGAAAATTCTGACAGAGGAATTGAAGGAATGCCAACATCTTAAACCTACTCCATCTAGACTGTGTTGTGGGCATAGACTTTCTGAAAATGAACATCACGTTCATGTGAGCCATCCTACAGTCATGGTCCCTCAATGTTCCAAGACAGAGCCGGAATATTGCCATTACTGTGGGCTTTCCTGGGCAACTCTGCTGCATGGCCAAGGGCTACTACAACCCAGTGAAACTGATTTCAAAAAGCAACTCTCGGAAGACAGAAGGCAGCAACTTATGCTTCAAAAAATGGAGCTGGAAGTTGAAAAGGAGCGCCTTCAGCACCTGCTGGCCCAGCAGGAGACAAAGCTCCTCCTAAAACAGCAGCAGCTTCACCAGTCCCGACTAGACTACAATTGGTGAGTGCTACCTTTCTCTGGGCAGTGCCTGTAGCTGGGAGAACACAGGATGCAGTGACTGCTGCGGCACCGTGACAAAGGTGTAGGGGAAGAGGTTCCTCAGGATTTTCGCTTTCTCAGGATGTGTACAAACTGAGACTACTGAGTAAATTCCACTGTCATCTTTGGAAGACTTGAAAGATTATCTTGTCTTCCAAAATGTTAGCCTAGAATGTCTACTTCTGAGCAGTCCAGTGTAGTTTTTGCTGGATTCCAAAGACAGTATTTATTCTTAAATGATATTACCATTACACAGAATCCTTTGCTGTTTGATGTCATTGTGGAGAACAGTAGGCATTAAGTAAAAGCTTAAGACTTCAGGGTGTGGAATCCAATTGTAAAGAAGTATGATTAGTTGTCATCATTCCATATTTATGTCTATTCACTAAAGTATAAAATATAACAAATGATGGGAGCCTTCTAAATTCAAACTTTTCCTGTTCAATAACCAATTCTTATAAACTTAGTCACATTTAAACTGTCCTTCCCTTAATGATTCTTCCTGAAGAACAGTGCTGCAAAAGCAATATTGCTATTTTAATGTTGTATAGGTCAGCATAGTTTTACAGAGTCACAAAACTTGCTATCTTAATTTATTCAAGCAAAATTAGCAATAAATCAGACACTCATATTTAAAACAATAAAGTGTCATGTCTTTTTAAAAAGTAAATTTCAAGACCAAAAATATGAAATGGAAGATTTTAGAAATAAACAATTCGTAAACTGTGCCCTGTTTAGGGTGATGAAATCTCTTGACATCTCACTCAGGGCGTAATCACCCCTTCGTCCTGCGTACCTGCACTGTACACGCACCTCGCCCATTAGTTGTTAGTCAGCAGCCATCTCGGTTGTCCAATCAGCTGTCATGGTATCACAATGCTGTGTTCAAGTGCTGTGTTCACCCTTATTTTACTTAGTATTGGCCTCAAAGCACAAGCAGGTGATGCTGGCAGTTCAAATATGCCAAAGAGAAGCCAAAAGTGCTTCCCTGAAGTGAAAAGTATATATGTATGTATAGGGGAAAAATGTCAATATACAGTATAGGGTTCCGGATTATCTGCAGTTTCAGGCATCCATTAGGGGTCTTGAAAGCATTCCCCATGGATCGGGGGAAGGGGGGACTATGGTACTTAGTTTCTTGGAACCGAAAGCTGTCTTCCTTTTTCTCTTCCTTTGATCAAACAGTTCTGTTCTTCATTGTTGAAACCTGGAGGCCTTCCAAATAAGTGAAAATTAAGCCATTTACAGCAAGGGTACTTACACCAAAGGCTACGATGTTGCTTTAATTTTATGACCCCAAATGCTAATCTTCAAGTTAATGTATAGTCTCTCCTGAGAACTTTATTCAAGAACATTTATGAAGTGCCTGTGACATGTGAGGAATGGTTTTAGGTCCTTGGGATAGAAAAACGGATCAGATGTGGTAAAGAGGACACAGCCTAGCAGGGGAGATTGGGTAAGTTTAGAATACGTGTCATGTTCACTTGAATAGCTTGTATATTCAAATAATGTTGGATAATGATAACAGTCTTTAGTGTTCTCTTGATTATACTAGCATAGGTGAGAGAGCTATGAAACACAGCTTTTGAGCAAGTTTTATAGTGTATAAGTTGCAAAAATAGAATATTTATAGAGATTTTTATAAACTTTTATTTTGAAATAATTATAGATTGAAAGGAAGTTGCAAAAATAGCACAACGGGGTTCCTTGTACCCTACATTCACTTTCCCCCAACAGCCATCCCTTACATAAATAAAATACACTATCAAAACTGGTAAATTAACATTAGTGCAATGTGCGTGTAGTTCTTTGTCATCTACCACAGGTGCAGATTTGAAGAGTTGTGTAACCACCACCACAAGCAAATAAAGAATGAAGATTTCCTTTGCACTTACCTCATTAGAGTTTCCCCACACTCTTCTGCCCCCACCATCCCTAACCTCTGGAAACGACTAATCTCTGGTCTATTTCTAAAATTTTATCTTTTGGGGATATTATAAAATGCAACTATATAGTCTATGAACTTTTGATAATGTTTTTTTCCATTAAGTGTAACGCACTTGAGACCGGTCTAGGTTATTGCATATATTGTACCTTTTGGTGGTGTTCAGTAGTATTCCATGATGTGGTTATACCATAACTTGTTTAACCTTCATCTATTCAAGAACACCTTCATTGTTTCCAGGTTTGTCTGTTACAAATGGAACTGCTATGTACATTTTTACACAAGTTTTTGTGTGAACTAAGGTTTTTATTTCTACACATGAAAGCTAAGATTATGATTGTTAGATCATATAGTAACTGTGTATTTAGTTTTCTGAAATTTAGCTTATACTACACTTAGTTTAAAATACTTTCTTCAGGCAGTGCATGAGAGAACATTTCTCCCCATGTTTGTCGGCATTTAGTGTTGCCACAAATTTTTATTTTACTTTTCCAATGTGCACATCATGATATCTCATTGTGGTCTTAATTTGCATTTCCCTAATTGTTATGGGTGCTGAACATCTTTTCATTTGCTCTGCTTCTATCCTCTTGGATAAATTGTCTTTTTAATATTGTTTTCCCATATTCTAATTGAATTGTTTGGGTTTTTTTACTGCTGAGTTTTGAGAGTTCTTTATACATTCTAGATGTAAGTCCTTTAGCAGATATGTGGATTGGAGGTATTTTCAACAGTCTGCAGCTCGTATTTTCAATCTCTTAACAGGATTTTTCACAAAGATTTTTTTTTCCTTGTAGCTTATATAGTTTTTATCACATTTGTTTAATTTGTCAGATCCCTTTTATGCATCAATTGATGTGATCATATTGTTTTTCTTACTTAGCATGCTGCTTTAGTAGATTATATTAATTGATATTTTAATGTTGACCTAGCCTTATATGCCTAAAATAAACCCTATTTGGTCATAGTGTATAATACTTTATATGTATTACTAAATTCTATTTATGATTTTATTAAGGATATTTGCATTAATATTGATTGACAAGAGATATAGGTCTGGGTTTTGGTTGTGTTTTTTTTTTTTTTTTGTACTGTCATTATCTGGTTTCAGTATCAAAGTAATACTGGCCTTATTTGTTTATTTCATCCATCTCTTTATAATGTTCTTCCTTCTGCTTGCTTTGGATTTATCTTGCTCTTCTTTTTTCTAATTTCTTCAAGTGAGAGCTTAGATTATTGATTTGAGACCTTCTTGTTTTCTAATGGAAGTATTTAGTGCTATAAATTTCCTTCTCAGCACTGTTTTGACTATATCTCGCTAATTTTGGTGTTTTGGGATGTCCAGTTAGCAAAATACCCTCTAGGTACAGCATTTGCTCCTTCCTCATGGCAGAATAACATTCACATACATCAAATCTTTGTCCATTCATCTGCTGACAAACACTTAGGTTGGTTCTGTACCTCGTCTGTCATGAATAATACCGCAGTGAGCCTGGGAGTGCAGGTGTCTTTTCAAGATACTAATTTTGTTGTCTTCAGACGAATACCCAGAAGTGGAATTGTTGAATCATATGGTAGTTATATTTTTAATTTTTTGAGGCACCACCATACTGTTCTTTGCAATGGCTGTACCAATTTACATTCCCACCAGTAAGGTACCGAGGATCCACTTGTTATCTCTTGTCCCTGTGATCAAAGCCATTTTAACAGGTGGGAGGTGACATCTCATGGTGGTTTTGATTTTCCCTTCCCTGGTGACTGGTGATGTTGAGCATCTTTTCATGTACCAGTTGAGCATTTCTATGTCTTTTGGGGGAAAAAAAACTATCTTTTCACATCCTTTGCCCATTTTTCAATCAGTTTTTTATTTGTTTTTTTTTTCTATTGAGTTGTATAAGCTGCTTATTATATATTTTGGATATTAATCCCTTATCAGATATATGGTTTGCAAATATTTTCTCCCATTCCATAGGTTACTTTATTTTAATAATTGTTTTCTTTGCTTTGCAGAAGCTTTTCAGATTGATTTAGCACTATTGGTTTATTTTTGCCCAAGTTTTTGATGTTGTATCCAAAAAATATTGCCAAGACCAATGTCAAGTAGCTTCTTCCTCACATTTTCCTGTAGCAGTTTTACTTTACAGGTCTTAGATTTAAATCTTTAATCAATTTTTAGTTAATATTTGTAAGTGGTATAAGATCGTTTCATTCTTTTCATCTGAAGATCCAGTTTTCCCAGCACCATTTATTGAAGAGACTGTTCTTTCTCCATTACATGTTCTTGGTACCCTGGTCAAAGATTAGTTGACCATATATGCATGGGTTTATCTCTGGGCTTTCTGTTCTGTTCCATTGGTCTTTCTATTTGTTTTTGTGCCATTACTATTTTGATTACTCCAGCTTTGTAATATAGTTTGAAGTTAGGAAGTATGATACCTCCAGCTTTGCTCTTCTTTCTCAGGATTATTTTGGTTATTTGGGGTCTTGTAAATTTTAGGCTTAATTTTCTAATTATGTGAAAAATGCCAATGAAATATTGATAAAGATTGCATTGGAGATTTCTTTTGTTAGTATGGACATTTTAACAAAATTATTTCTTCCAACTTATAAACATAAGATGTTTTCCTTTTATTTGTACTTTCCTCAATTTCTTTCTTTCAACAGCTCCTTGGAGTCTTTAATATGCACATCTTTCATCTCCTTGATTAAATTTATTTTAAGTATTTTATTTTTTATGTAATTGTAAATACGATTATATTATTATTTCTTTTTCAGACATTTCAGTGTTTTGTGTAGAAATGCAGCTGATTGTACAATTTTAGTGAATTCATTTATTAGTTTTAACAGTTTTGATGAAGACTTCAGGATTTCTATGTATAAGATTGTGTCATCTGCAAACAGAGACAGTTTTGCTTTTCCCTTTCCAACGTGGATACCTTTTATTTATTATTCTTGCCTAATTGCTCTGGCTAGTACCTTTAGTATCATGTTGAATAGAAGTAGCAGAGAAGGGGCATTCTTGTTCCTGATCTTAAAGGAAAAGCTTTCAACCTTTCACCATTGACTAGGATGTGAGCAGTGGGCTTATCGTATGTGGATCTGTTATATTGAGTTATGTTCCTTCTGTACTCAATATCTTGAGTTTTTCATGAAAGGATGTTGAATTTTGCCAAATGTTTATTCTGCATCTACTGAAATAATCATACAATATTTATCTTGCATTCTATAGTTTGGAGTATTTTATTGAGAATTTTTGCATCTGTATTCATTATGAATATTGGCCAGTATTTTTCTTTTCTTGTGTTTTCCTTATCTGGCTTTGGTATCAGAGTAATGCTGGCTTCATAAAGTGGGTTTGGGAGTTTCTTTCTCTTCAATTTGTTGTAAGAGTTTAAAAGGATTGACATTATTTCTTTAAACATTTGTTAGAAGTCACCAGGGAAAACATCTAGTCTTGGACTTTTCTTTCTTGGGAGGTTTTTGGTTACTGATTTAATCTCAAATAAGTCATTATTTGTGTTTTCAGATTTTATATTTCTTCATGATTCAGTTTTGGTAGGTTGTATATTTCTAGGATCTTATCATTTCTTCTAGGTTATCCAATGATTTGATATATAACTGTTCATAGCAGTTTCTTGTGATCCTTTTCCCTTGTGGTTATAGGGTCTCCTCTTTCATTTACAATTTTGAGCCTTCTCTCTTTTTTCTTAGTCTTGCTAAAGGTTTCTCAATTTTGTTTATCTTTTTTTGTTTATCTTAATTTATTTGCTCTTTTCCATTGTTTTTCTGGTCCCTAATTTATTTCTGCTCTGATCATTGTTATTTTTCTCTTTCTAATAATATTGACTGTAGTTTACTCTTTATCTAGTTTTTTGTAGTATAAAGTTAGGTTGTTTATTAGTTTGTCTTTGAGATTTTTTTCTTAATACAGGCATTTATTTCTTTAAACTCAGCTCTTAGAACAGCTTTTGCTACATCCCACAAGTTTTAGTATGTTTTGTTTCCATTTTCATTTGTTTCAAGTTATTTTTTTGATTTATTCTTTTACTCATTTGTTGTTTGGGGATGCATTTTTTAATTTCTACTTATTTATGAGTTTTCCAGTTTTTGTCCTGTTACTGATTTGTAGTTTCTTATCATTGTGGTTGGAAACAATACTTGGTTTGATTTCAGTCTCCTTAAATTTGTAAGAATTGCTTTGTGACCTAACATGACCTCTGGAAAGTAATTCTGTTTACACCTGAGAAGAATATGTATTCTGTTGCTGTTGGATTGAATGCCTGTGTATGTCTGTTAGGTCTTTTTTATTAAACTCTTAGTTTTTATGGGGTAGTTAATCTACATGTTTCTGTTTATATATCACTGTGCATATTTGGTGTCAATTGTAAAACATCTTTTGACAATGATAAAAATGAAATTATTTTAACATTTTTACCTTTTGTGGTTTTATTTCATAATTTGAGAATGTAGTTTTATGGATTTCATTTCTAAAAATGAACCAGAGAGCACCTCTAGGCAATGAAGAAAATGGGTGGTAAGGGTCACATGTTTGGTGCCAGTGAATAATTGGCCCTCTACCTCTTGGTTAGAACCATGTCATGCTAAGTTCTTCAGCTGCTTCCCCTCCTCAGTACAGTGAGGGTGGAGCTAAGTTAACATTGATGGATAAAATTTCTTCCTGGAGGAATTTTTCTGTGACTCAGATAAAGTGTTCATTAGTAAGATGCAGCCTCAGCTTTTTAAATTGTCAGTACGAGAAGGGCCACCTCTGGGTATGTTGGGCAGGGTCAGTTTTACTCAGTGTTACTAGAACTCCATTTGGACTCTGGCGACCAAAACACACTTGTTAGTAGCGGATGTAGAGAAGCTTTAAATTTCTAAAGAGGAGATTTAAAGTGCTATAGATGTTTAAAGCATCTATAATGTTGACCTTTTAAATGATATTCTAACCAACTCAGACTTCCCTCACTGCTCTATAAATAAAGAAAATTTAAATTCTTGTGAAACTGCTTTGTGCTTATGTGTATTAGGAAGAACCCATTAGTTTTTGGTAGGTGGAGTTTTAATTTGAAAATAATTGCTGGGTAATATGGCTAGAAGATGGTCTTTCAAAGAATGCCATTCAGTTTCTTAGATTCTATAGGATTAGACATTCTCCAAATTTATTTTTACAGGTTGAGAACTCAAACTGCATTTAAGTCGAAACAACTGGTGGATGATAAAGAACTTGCTAAGCCCGGAGAACTCAACCTGGTTACGAATGGGAGTGACTCTAGACCAAGGTAAACTTGAGTGGCGGGTCAAGGCAAGATTATATAGAATACACATATTAAGGATGTGTTTGGTTTATAGTCATAGCTCCTTATTGGTGAATCCAGTTTTCTGATAATATGAATAAATACATTCTCATTATAAAATTTTGAAATACAGAAGTGTAAAGAGAAAAATAAAAATTATTCAAGTGCCTACCATTCAGAGGCAATTTTGAGCCCTTTTTTATCTTTCTTTTATAATTATATATTGAGTAATAGGGATTACGCTTATAAAGAATATTATTTTTTGTCTTCTTCATTGTATCATTTTTTTCTGTCATTAAATTTTTATGAAAACATAGTAATTAATTCACTCAACAAATGTTTATTGTGTGACATCTGTTATTCAGTATTTATCTATAAGCCTGATGTTGGATAACACAGGGTTTTGCTCTTATAAATTACACCTTGAAGACCTTTTCTGTAAGTTATTTATTTTATTTCTACCTATTTCTTTGGTGTAGATGTATCTAAGTAGACTGCTATCTCAAAAATATGAATCCTTTAAGATTCTTGATGCACATTAATAAGTAGCTTTCCATAGAAGTTAAATCTATTTATACTCCAAAGCTGTGTTTAATAATTCTTTTTTTTTCCTGAAATTTGAAGAATTTTGGGCTATTACTTTTTTCATTATTAGATATTTAGGTTGTTTCAAGTTCTTTATCACTGTACACAATGTTCTAACAAGCATGACTACTTATTTTTGTGTTCTGGTACTTCTGTTTTATTAGGGCGAATTCTCCAAATTTTTTTACATAAGTATATCTCAGTATACTTTATAATTATAAACTACAATAGTCTGTGCCAATTTTGTCCCCAAAATTTGTAGCAATTCTTACTCCCACTTGCAATTCATGAAAGTTTTCATTATTGCTGTTCAGGTAAGTGTAGTGAATGCTTTGGAAGCTAGTTCTTCAGTCTAAGAGATGGGTGTTCAAGTACATACATCTGGGCATGCATGTCCTACATTCAAATAATTATGACAAAAATGAGGTAAAACTATGAACTGCTTTCAAAAAAACCTTAGGTCTTTTAAAATGTTAATCTACATTATAAGAATTTGAAGAAGTTTGACAGTTATTTGTCAGAACTCTCTAAATAAAAATTAATTTTAAGCTGAATTTTGTTTATTTGGAAATCTAAATTGTCTTAGTATTAAAAATACTCTGTTTATTTAAAATATTAAACTTACTCAAGTGAGGCATTAAGAATTTGGAACTAAAATAAATGAGATAATGAGGAAGTAAAAACATATTTTTTATAATTAACAGCTCATTTTAAGTTAATTATATACAATTACCAAAATTTAATTGCAATTTATTTTCTATTATCTGTGGGAAGAATCACAGGCAAGGGAGCTTACATTGCTGCCTTCCTGCATAAAAGCTATGAAATGAGGATGAATAATATGTGAGGCCTTAATGACAAATAAGAGCAAATAGTAGGGCACAGCTGAGCCAAACCATTGGAAAATTATTATCACATGAGAGATGGTAATGACTTAGAAAGTCATGAGCAGCTCTGATTCCTTATAGGCTCTCTGGTTTGTTTTTTAGTTAGTTAAATTGTTGTTTGTTTGTTGGCTATGCAAAAATGACCCTTATAAAGAGAAAAGAAAAAAAAAACTGGCTTATAAGTACTACAGGGAATGTAGAAAGCCCCTATCCTCAAGAATTCTCATAGAAGAGTAAGGCAAATATACAAATATTTATTATCTATATACAATATAAGGGCTATAAAAGAAATGCAGATAAACTAAGAAGATGTTTGTGAAAGAAGTAATACTTGAGATAAGCCCTAGAATTTTGGTATGTGAGGAGCGTCTGTGTGCATGTACGTATGTGTTGGGTGGGAGAAGACCTGGGAGGAGCTGGAGTAAAGGAAGGAAATCACACAGTATATGTGGGGCACAGCAGTGAGTATGCTTTAGTTTGATCAGAAGAGTAAGAGAAAATGAAACTAAAGATGAAACTAGTAAATTAGTGTAGATTATAAAACAGTTTAAATCTCAGGCCAAAGATTTTGGGCCTTTGTGATTGGAAGAACAAAAAAGGGGAAAAAATTATTTTGTCAGGAAGATGATTGATTTGATTTTTATTATTGGAATAAGGATCAAAGAGGCCAGGTTTTAGTCCTTGCAATAATGAGCCAATGTGGCTTTAAAGGTAATGCTATGCGTCTCAGTCTCCTTGCCTGTAATTGAGAGAGTTAAAATGGATTTTCACTAAGAGTTTCTTCCAACTCTTAACAGTTTGTGATTATTAGACAGGTTGGATTTCCAGACGAAGCTATCTATTATATAAGTAGAATTTTGGACCTAAATGTCCTAAGAGAAATCAAAGTTAGAAATTCAGATTTGGAAGTCATCTGCATTGGTGCTGCACCTGTGAGAGTGGATATTAATTTCTGAGAAGAAGTTTAGAGGAATATAAACAAAACATTAGAAAATGCCTACCTGTGGGACTCTGAGAGAATAAGAGTGGCAGTGTGAAAAGTTGACAAAGAAGCAGGCTGGTGCAATGTCACAGAAACAAAGGAGGAAAAACAGAACGATGCCTTGGAAAGAAATGTGGTTGATGGAGTATAGTTTTAAAGACAGGCATGCCCTGTATATTTTTATAATCTTGGAGAAGTGACTAGTGAAGGAAGAGATTGCAGAAAGTGAATAATTGATGGAGCACAGTCCTAAAAAGAATCACTTGTCAAAGTCTCAGTTATTTGTGCTGGCTTCTCTTTACTTGTACCTGGGCCCATCTCTCCTTTCTTCTGTCTACACATGCTTTCTCCCTGTGTGACCATATCTAGGCCCTTGCCTTTAAATATCATCCATATTCTGATGACTCTCCAATTTTTCCCTGTAGACCTGACCTTTCCTCTAGTCATTAAACCCGTGGATCCTGTCATGTATACAAGACTCCCATTACACGGTCTCACAGACATCTCACAGATAACAAAGCTAAATGAAGTCTTGTTCCCTCTTTCCACCATCCAGTCCACTTTCACTCCATCCCAGCCTTCATCTCAATAGCAGCCACTCAAGTCAAAACAATGTCCTTAATTTCTCCTTCCTTTCCTTTTCTTCCCTTTCCCTTTCCCTTTCCTTTCCTCCACCAAATAGTCTCATAACCACTTTCCTTTTGTTTCTATTCCGTCACCAAAATGAATGCGCTCCTCCCACCATAATCTAAGCCTGGACTTCGGCAAAGGTTTCCGAAGTGGTGTACTTCCTTTATTTCTGTTCTTAACCCCCTAAAATTTATTTCCCACAACAACTGGAAAGATCATTCAAAAATAGCAGCGTACTTACTTCCTTGTCTAAAACTCTTCAAAGACTCTTCAGTGCCTATAGAATAACACCTGAACTTCTTGACTGTCATAGAGCGTTCTACATGAAATCTGGCTTCTTCTAACCTTACACCACTCTCCTTCTAAACATTTAGTGACCCCTACTCCCATTTTACTTAAAATTTAAACTTTTACCATGGCCTTTATGTTGTCTTCTCTTGTCTTTGCATTTTTTTCCTTGCCTCGTATGTTCCAACTTCATTGGTCTTGGTTGTATTTCATCTTCTAGTATATGCTGCATCATACCTGTAGCTGCCTTTAACAGCTTTAGTCCTGTCCTTCCTAGTATTAACTTCTATAGATGAGAGCTTAAGTATCATCTGCCAAGAAGGTACTTTTCTGATCACCCTAAAGCATGTGTCTCCATTGCTCCCTGTTTCAGTACTCTGAAGTCCCGCACACCACCGCCCAGCCATAAGCTTCATGAGCACAAGGGTCATAACTGTCTTGTCACGTATGATATGTTATAACATCTATATGTCATGAAGAGCGTACCTTCAGTATATAGTAGGTGCTCATAAAATATTTGTGGAATGGATTGTTCAAAACCTCAAGTCCTCTCAGGAAAGTATGAAGGGAGATCACTGACTGAGAAATGTGGTAATAACATCTCGGAAGAGGATGCGGGTGCTCAGAATAGCCTCAGGGAAGGTATAATAAGTTATAAAAAGATGGTCAATAAGAAGTATTGCATTCATAGTATAGAAATTTCCTCGAACTGATAAACTACCTCAGATAGGCAACTCTTGGAAGAGTAACCCAAACAGCTAATATGTATATAAAATCTTCTTACAACTAATCTTGGAAAAGTGAAAATTAAAAACAATAAAAAGATAACATTTTTAAATCAGTTGGCAGAATTGGAAAGTGTAGTGAGATCACAGTTTAACAAGAGTGTGGAGAAACAGGCGCTTTGCTTTGCTGTGCTGCTGATAGGAATGCAGTTGCTAAAGCTGCCTGTGTGACCAATTTCAGAGTATCATTTTACAGTTACTTTTAATTATCATTGATAATTGTCACAGCAACTCCCCTTCCAGTCATCTCTCCCTTCCTTCTAACTTCTCTTTTATTTCCTTTCTCTGTGTAACTCATAGATAACCTTTGGCCTAAAGAACTGTTCTTGCAAAAAGAATATTTTTCCAATTTCCCTTTCAAAATTCTTTTTTTTTTTTAATTTTAAAAATTTCTTTAAAGATTTTACTTACTTATTTTTAGACACGGGAAGAGTGGGGGAAAGACAGGGAGAGAAACATCAACGTGTGGTTGCCTCCTGTGCACCCCCAACCAGGGATCTGGCCTGCAAATCTGGCGTGTGCCCTGACTGGGAATTGAACCAGCGGCCCTTTGGTTTGCAGGCCAGCACTCAATCCCCTGAGCCACACCAGCCAGGGCTCTTTCCAAATTCTTTAACAAGGTGACTGATTAACATGGGTGGGGAATCACTGTTGTCTACTTTAGACATGCTGGAGATCATCAGTAAAATTGTATTGTTGGGCTCAGAGATGTCACGTATAAATATAACTTAAGCAAATGAGAAAACAGTTTGCTATAGTTGAATATTACATAGCTTCGATACTAGAGAATTTTTGAGAGATGGGGCAGTGATCTTCCTATCCTTTCAA